AGTTGAGTTTGGATAAGACCATTTCCTCTTAATGGAGAAACTTAGGAGGTGTCAGGATTAAATCAATAGAAAAGGGATTCTCAAAAGAAACAGACAACATGGTGTCCTGATTTCTAGGTCTCTGTTCAGCTGTGTTGGTTTTTAGTTTTATAATCCTCCCTCTCAAAGTGTATGTGTCTGGGGGGGATCTCAGTCTGTATCAGTCCAGCTAAACTTCACTGCTTTCCAGAACCCTTTTTTTCTGAAAATAAAATGGTGTAGCATGGCACTTGCTTATGTCATTTTTTTTTTTTTTTTTTCTCTCTTTTCCAAACCTTAGGCTAATGAACCCATACCTCTCTGATAAGGACCTATCTCCATGGCTCTTTTGTGCTTGGCTGTCCTTAGTTCTCTGACTGATTCCTTTTACTTCCTCCTTGAGTCCTTGGTGCCTGTTGTAATATGTAAACTAACTGTCCCTGTGGAAGATGTGACTTACAGTGACTAGCAGGTCATCTACCTGTTCACTTCATCCCTTGCATTGAAGGGTTTAGCCTCATAACATGGCTCATATTGTGGGTAGAATGCCAGATGAGTCAGTCCCTCTTGCTGATTTTCTCTCACTGGGGAATATAATTTGCAGACTAGAAACCTCTCTTTTCTGGGTCAGTCCTCCAGCATCATGGCTGCCTTCACAAGTCTAGAAGTATCTGATAGCTAACACCTTTAGTCTCAGAGGGCAGAGTTAGATTGGAAACCTAGATTTCAGACATCTAGGCTCTACACAGTTCTAATTGATTCATTATCATTTAAAACCACTGAGTGCTCAGCCTATGTAACTTTGAGACCAGAAGAACTAGATGGTGCCCAGCTACCACTATCAACTACTCAGAGGGGGATCTGTGCTATGTAGGAGATCCTGGATAGAGCAGGAGAGCAATGTGAAACAAAACTCAAAATCATTTTTAAAAAAAGGGAACTAGGTTTGCTGGTCTGATAAAGCCTGATGGAACCACTGAGACTATGGCCCCTACCTTTCCTTCAGGTCTGGAATTGAACCCACTGCTGTGGCTTCCAGCCAAACAAAAGACAGGCATATGAGCTGAATATTTGCATTAGGTAGATACACTTCTTGGAGAGCTCAATCATGGGAGGATAGAAGGGCTGTGTATGCACAAGGAGACAGCTCAGGGGACAGGAGTGCATGGAAGGGAAGGACACAGGGAAGAGATAACTTATGGGGAGGAAGTGCATCGTGGGAAATTGCAGTGAATGTCATGAGACAAAGTGTATGTGAGCTGCTGTATGGAAAGTGAATTTGTTTGGTAAACTTTCACCCAAATCACAATAAAAATCACACAAACTACTGAGTGCTAGTGATCTATGGAGCACACTAGGCAGAGAATAAGGTACCACCTGAGTCCTATAGGTTTGCTATTGCTTAGTCCTCAGAACTGCTGGCAGAACAGTGTCTTTCTTCAGTCCTAGCAACCCCCATGTCAGAGTTCTGTCTCATAGTGAGTGTGGTTTCCCTGCAGCTACCTAGGCATCCTTGTCTATAGGCCCTTTCTCTAGTCTAGACCATGCTTTGGTGTGTTCCTGGCAGTGCTCCCTGCTGCCTACCCAGTATGTAGTTGCCTACTGTTGGGCAGCAGCTCACTGCTCTGGCATCCTGCTGTGTAAATATTTGTCAAAGGACAGGGGCGTTTTCCCATTCCCCAAAAAGCATTCTGAAAAATGTGCCTGTTTTCTTAGTCATATTTCCAGGTTGTGAATCAGTTAGCCCATTCATTCCTTGTAGTCTACAGACACTGGCCTGGCCTCAGCTGGCCACATAAAGTAAGTATGCAGTAACTTCCGGCATAATAACTTTCAGGCTTCAGTACCAAGAAGTTCTGGACGTAAAGGAACCATGGATGACATAGTCACTAGTAGAGGAGACATTGTTTCATTAACAAGAAAGAATCCCATGTGTTCCCTATGAGAAATTTTCATGTCTTTCACTCACACTTGATATTGAAAGCATAAATGGAATCAACAGAGATGAGAAAGCTAATCGTAAGATTCTGGGAGAAAACTTTACTTTTCATGTTTGTGACTTTACTTTCAGGTCTTACGTAATGTAGGTTCTTATACTGCATCCATGGCTGGCTCTATAAAGGTAACATTGTTGTGCTACTGTCAGCTTAGAGATGTTTTCTATACCATTGATGGGTTTATCCTAGGCCATAGACACTGTCACTTAATTCTACTTGAGAACAAAACACTTTGCTCTGCAAGATGGCTTATTAGGCTAAAAAGGCAGTTGCTAGCCATGGAACAGAGTTTTCTGTCTTTGTACAAAGCTAGGTGACCTACATATAAAGACTGAACTCTTGACCTTTGCTTCATTAACAGTAGGCTCTAACAGATTGAGGTGAGAATCTGTTTACCCACACAGTTTCAACAGATTAAGTGACAGCTAATGTGCCTTACTAAACTGCTTGCACTCTTTCCTTCCTTTTCCCTAAGCCTCACCTTCTATCACCCCTTCCTACCCATTCTCTAATCTTTTGACCTAACCCTCATCTGGCCAGCATTTCTGCCCCTTTGTATCCCAAATCTCATTTTAGACACACACACACATACATGCACACACACACACATCAAATCAACTAAACTGTAGAAAGCAGCAATGGAAAAGCTCAATATCATCAGTTGGAGCAAGGCCAGGGCTGACTGTGTAACACACCATCAGTTGTTCCTATGCAAGCTGAAGTTGAAGCTGAAGAAAATTAAAACAACTCCACGAATCACAGTATAACCTTGAGTATATCCCACTGAATTTAGAGACTGTCTGAAGAACAGATTTGACTCATTGCATACCAGTGACTGAAGACCAGATGAGTTGTGGGATGACATCAAGAACATCATACATGAAGAAAGAAAAGACCAAAATGGATGTCAGAAGAGACTCTGAAACTTGAACATAGAGTAGTTAAATCAAATGGAAGAAATGATGAAGTAAAAGAGCTGAACAGAATATTTCAAAGGGTGGCTCAAAAAGACGAAGTGAAGTATTATGAAATGTGCAAAGACCTGGAGTTAGAAAATCAAAAGAGAAGAACATACTCAGTATTTCTCAAGCTGAAAGAACTGAAGAAAAAATTCAAGCCTTGAGTTGCATTATTATAGAATTTTATGGGCAAAATATTGAATGATGCAAATAGAAGGAATATACAGAGTCACTGTACCAAAAAGAATTGGTCAGTGTTCAACCATTTCAGGAGTTAGCATATGATTAAGAACCAGTAGTATTGAAGGAAGAAGTCCAAACTGCAATGAAGGCATTGGCAAAAAACAAAGCTCCAGGAATTGATGGAATACCATTTGAGATGTTTCAGCGAACAGATACAACACTGTAAGTGCTCACTAATCTATGCCAAGAAATTTGGATGACAGCTGTGTGGCCACCTGACTGGAAGAGATCCATATTTGTGTCCATCCCAAAGAAGGGTGATCTAACAGAATGTGGAAAAGTATCAAACCATATCATTAATATCACACTCAAGTAAAATTTTGCTGAAAATAATTAAAAAATGGTTGCAGCAGTTTATAGACAGGGAGCTGCCAGTAATTTAATCTGGATTCAGAAGAAGCTGTGGAACAAGAGATATCAGATGAATCTTGGCTGAAAGCAGAGAATACCGGAAAGATGCTTACCTGTGCTTTACTGATTATAAAAAAGCATTCAACTGTGTGGATCATAACAAATTATGGATAATTCTACAGAGAATGGGAATTCCAGAAAGCTAAATTGTGTTCATGAGGAACCTATACATAGACCAATAGGCAGCCATTCAAACAAAACAAAGGGATACTGCCTGGCTTAAAATCAGGAAACATGTGCATCAAGGCTGCATCCTTTCACCATACTTATTCACACTGTACGCTGAGCAGATAATTGGAGAAGCTGGACTATATGAAGAACATGGCATAAGGATTGGAGAAAGACTCATTAACAGCCTGCAGTGTGCAGATAACACAACTTTGCTTGCTGAAAATGAAGATGAGTTGAAGCACTTATTGATGAAGATTAAAGACTACAGTCTTCAGTATGGATTACACCTCAATATAAAGAAAACAAAAATCCTCACAACTGAACCAGTAAGCAACATCATGATAAATGGGGAAAAGATTCAAGTTGTCAGTGATTTCGTTTTACTTGGATCCACAATCAATGTCCATGGAAGCAACAGTCAAATCAAATGATGTATGGCATTGGGCAAATATGCTGCAAAAGACCTCTTTACAGAGTTAAAAAGCAAAGATGTCACTTTGAAGACAAAGGTGCGCCTGACCCAAGCCATTATATTTTCACTCACCTTATATGCATGGGCAATCAATAAGGAAGACCAGAGTAAGTAATGCATTTGAATTATGGTACTGGAGAAGAGTATTGAATATACCATGGGCTGCCAGAAGAACAACAAATCTGTCTTAGATGAAAGTACAGCCAGAATGCTTCTTAGAAGTGGGGATGGTGGGACTTTGCCTCTTGGGCTTTGGTGATATTATCAGGAGGGACCAGTCTCTAGAGATTATCATGCTTGGTGGGTCAGTGACAAAGAGGAAGGCCCTCAATGAGATGGATTGACAAAGTAGCTGTAACAGTGGCCTCAAGCATAACAATGATTGTGAGGATGGTGCAGGATCAGGCAGCGTTTTGTTCTGTTGTATATAGGGTCACCATGAGTTGGAACTGACTCGACAGCACCTGACAGTGTGTGTGTGTGTGTGTGTGTGTATGTACATCCATACATAACAGTTTTCCTCTTTTTGCTGTTTATAACCATCTCAACTCTCCTTTCTATTTGGAGTTTGATATAGGGCATGAAGCTGTTGGGCATTTAAGGCTTAATTGAATTAAATAAGAAACAATAGTGTATGCTATTCACAACAGCACTAGCTTTCCTCCCATTAATACAACTATACCAGAAGGCCTGCGTATCTATTCTAATACACAGAATTTTTTCCCACAGATCATCAATTTCTACATGAACATGCTGATGGAGCGAAGTAAAGAGAAGGGATTGCCAAGTGTGCATGCATTTAATACCTTTTTCTTCACTAAGTTAAAAACAGCTGGATATCAGGCAGTGAAACGTTGGACAAAGAAAGTGGATGTATTTTCAGTTGACATTCTTTTGGTGCCCATTCACCTGGGAGTGCACTGGTGTTTAGCTGTGAGTACCTCTTTTATATCTGATAAAATTTAAAAGAAATAGGTATAATTGTAGAATGCACAGAGAGTAATGAGTAGTAGTTCTATATTTTGAAGACTGAGAGAATGTAATAGTGTGTGTTAGTAGGTTGAATAAAAATTGAATAGATCAATGGACTTCCTATCAAGAGTGGGAGATACTCAGACTTTCAAGAAGCTGAAATTTCCTTTTCTGGAAAAATTTAAAAGGAAGTTGTTGGGAGTTGAAGCAGTGTCAAGTCAAGGCATAGGGAGAAAAAGTGACTTTTTAATGATGCTGTCAACTCAGATTCTATGATTATTATTTTCTGCCCAATTATGACTTGTTTTGCATAGTTGCCATATTAATATGTTTTATGACTCTGAGAACAAAGATATATTAGCTTAATATAATTATGACAGTATTTTACAATCTGTTTTTAATTACATTTGAAAAGCACAAAACCAAAAGGAAATTCTCAAGGTAAAGAAGCCTGGTAAATCTCCACCGTCCTTCTGAACTGTATGGAGATGATCTCATTCAACTTGGGTCCTCTGCAGAGCATGGTGTTTCTTTACTGTTGCCCACCTTACAGTTGGAGAACCTGAATGCTAGAAAAAGATGTCAGGGCAATTATTGAGGCCTTTAATCAATCCGCCTCCTTCATAAACCTGAAAAATCCAAACCCACTGCCATCAAGTGTATTGTCTCACAATGTGACCCTATAGGGGAGAGTAGAGCTGCCCTGTAACGCTTCCAATGCTGTAAGTCTTTATGGAAGTAGATGGTCTCATCTTTCTCCCTCCAGAACAGCTGGTGGGTCCAACTGCTGACCTTTTGGTTAACAACTGAATGCATTAACAACTGCTCTGCCAGGGCTCCTTCCCCTCCATACACCAAACCAAACTGACTGTCATTGGGTCGATTCTGACTCATAGTGACCCCCATTACGTTTCCAAGGCTGTAAACCTTTATGGAAGCAGAGTACCCCATCTTTCTTCAACAGAGCACCTGGTGGGTTCAACTTTTTGGTTAAGCAGCCAATAGCCTTAACCACTGTACCATCAGAGCTCCTGTCCTCCTCCATAGCTCTACATAAATAATCCCCTTGTTCTCCTTTTCTCGGCAGATAAGCATGGTACAATGCAGAGTGGTAATCAAACTTGTCATGATTTCCCAGGAAATCTGGCAAAATGTTCCATGTGCCAGAGAAAGAAATAGCTGAGCAACCAATTTTTTTTCACTTTATAAACACACAGATTTTTTTTCTTATTCCTAGGTTGTGGACTTCAGAAAGAAGAATATTACCTATTACGACTCTATGGGTGGGATAAACAATGAAGCCTGCAAGATCCTCTTGTAAGTAGGGAGTTGATGACAAATAAGTTTGGTGTCAGGTGTATGTTGTGTTTTTCCAACTATTGAACTCAACTGCTGATATCTACAATGAAGTGATTAATAAAATAAATCTTTATATAATGAAATAATAGATATTTTAAGTCTAAATGTGTAAAATTTCATCATAGAATAATTAAAAAAATATGTTCAAGT